GGGGTCTCGCTCTTGCTCAGGCTGGTCTCGAACTCCTGAGTTCAAACAATCCGCCTGCCTCGGCCTCCCAGAGTGCTAGGATTACAGACATGAGCCACCGCCCCCAGTCAGGTTTTATTTTTTAAAATAGGTAGAACCATCAAACTTGAGTAAGTTCTGCTCACAAGTACCAGTAGTACCTCCTGCGTCATCTCCATCTAACATTACCAGTGGAAAAAACATTTGCCTGAAGCATATACATTCTGAGCTCACTCTCAAACTTGCTTAAGGAATTGAAATGATAGCAGACATTTTTGAAAAATCTCCTGGGTCCTGCCTTTGCATGTGCTACAGCAACAGACTTGTAGCTAAGGGGTTATTTTCCTGACTTCAGGGTCCAACTAAAAAATGTGCACTGTTGGTGTCCAACAGAGTGGGCAGTATCATTAAGTGGTGCACATAACACACACTCTTTTCATACCCTCAAAGAATCTCAGAGAGCATTCTAAAATAGAAAAGACAAATAAAACATTAACTCTTATGAAAGCAGAGCTTGATAAATTGCTTGACCTTGCCTAATTTCTTTGTGGAAACCATAAATAGAGGCGAAGGAAGTGATTTGTATGGCTAGAACTAATTACACTCTTTCCTTTACAAAAATAATTATAAACAAGGTCAGCACCTTTTGGAAGTTTACCTTTGTATTTAGACAGAGTCAGGTGACCCCTAATTGCTCCCTGTGCTAGCCATCTCCCCTTATCTCTAAGAAAAACATATCTAGAAGGGTTCCTGACACTTAGTAAGTGCTCAATAAATATTTGTTAAATAAGTGAAGGGATAAATTATTAAGTTAAGATACAAATATCTCAAGCTCAGCATAGATATAGATATTCAATAACATTGTATTCAATGTTATCTTGTGAATTATCCTATACACAAATACAATAAAATCGTAAGGGCATTTCAGTTACTTAACAGCTAGCTAGCTGTGCTCTTTTGTTTCTTTTTGTCTTTCTTCTGCGTCAAATTATACTTTCTCTCCATCACAGCCAGGTCTCTTCTATTATTTCTCAAGCTGGTGGTTAGCTAGATGATCACATGCAAAGATTTTGCAATCTTTACTCTGTTGTTTAGAGAAGATTCTGAGGATGGAGTTTATTTTATAGGTAGATGAATTTGATAGATAGGTGACAATTTTGGAAGTAAAATGAGACCTGGAACAGAAGTCCCAAAT